AATTTAAAAACGATTAGCACTGATCAAATCTTTTTACATATTTTTCAAATTCAAATGGCCATAGACAGCATGTACTAAACCAAGATCCCAAAAGTTTCCAAAGCTTATCCTGAAATAGCCATCTTATGACAAGCAGATTATAAGTAATATTTGTCACTCAAACTAATCCTTAGTCTATCCATAATGATGTTTGATAACCTGAACAGTTATCTAACCTTATAAAAAAACAATGATATGTGTGATTTTATAACATTAAAGGATCATGCGACACTGAAGACTGGAGTAATGGCTGCTGAAAATTCAGCTTTGCCATCACAGAAATAATGACATTTTAAAACAGCCTACATCAAAATAGAGAACAATCATTATAAATTTTAATATTTCACAATATTGCTATTTTTATTGTATTTTTTGATCAAATAAATGCAACCTTGGTGAGCATAAGACATAATTTGATTAAAAAATCTTACCAACCCAAACCTTTGCATGGTACTTTAGTATATATATATTCAGATTTGGATTGGATTTAAAGAACCAAACAAAGATTTCTTACAAAAACTCAGATATGTCCTTTTTCCTACTTCTAGAATTGGGAAGATTTTTTTCCAGCACAAGCAGTATTGTTTAGTCTAAAAAAGGCCTAATGTATGTCAAGTAAACCACCTACCTTGTGCTCTATAAAACTTGGGAAGGAGGTAATTAATGTTTCTGAACCAGGGTCAGTGAGGTATGTAAGCATTATTAATAACTGCGCTCAGAACAGTTTGGCTAATGTACTGTATGACCTGTTATTCTGAATGAAATCCTATTGTGCCATCAAACCTTTTCTGTTTATTAATATGAGATATCAGTCTAGATATTGAAGAATGATAACCATATATTATTTTATTTCTAAATGTAAAGTTCATAACTCCATATTGATCTGATTTGACTCAGGTGGTGGCATGTTATCGGCACTTGGCCTCCTGTGTTGGTGGATGCACGGACAATTCCAGCCTAAGACGTGATCTTCGGCAAACACGAGAGCGAGCCCAGACACTAGCGCTGTCCTGCAAAAACCACCTGACAGCTCGACTGAGGGATAAAACATTACCGGACGCTGAGAGGAAGGAAACAGAGCTGCTGTGGGTGGCATTTTCCTCTTGTCTGGAGCTCTTACATGCAGACATGTGCAAGGTTTTCACCACGGTCAAGCACTTTTCCCTTGCCAATAACAGTGCCATGGTGCAAACAGGCATACAGGGTAAGCATGCATAACTGTTGCAGTTTCATTATTTAAGACTAGTGACAAACTGCTGACTAACTTCTGTATATTCCTCAAACATATGAATGTACAGGTGCTGTCATATTTACAACATTTCAGCTAAATTTGCCATGGAAAACCATTGACAATTGTCCATTGTTCATAGTACAGTCTTTACAGAGCCTTTTAAAACTATGTTATGGATTTATTTGTCTACTCAAAGGTTTTCGGAAAGGTATTTAGTCAGCTGAACAATCAATATGTTGTTAAACAACAGCATTGAAAGCACTGTACTTCATTCCCTTTAAACATTAAGGTATTTGGACCTGGCTTTCACAAAGTAACAGTAAATGTGACCGCACCTTAACTGTCACAACCCTGTAATTAGTCTGATACACATATTTGCTTAAGCAGGGGGGACAACAGAGGTGGCAGCACGGGCCTTGAGTATGCCTGACCTGCAGGAGGCAGGTGACGGGTCCCAGACATCCAGCATGGAGGGTCAGGAGCAGAGTCAGCTGGAGCAAGAGATCGCACAGGTGGACCGTACGCTGGAGGACATGGAGCTGAAGGTCAATGTGCTGCGCTGGACAGTGGAGGCACTGGGTCCTCAGTATGCTGACCCCGTCAGCACTGACAGCGCTTCGCTGGCGCTGCTGTCCATCGACGAAGAGGCAGCTCAAGGCTTTTGCAGGCGCAGCCAGATGTTTGCAGTAATGATGCTGTGCGGTGTGGCAATCTTTGCCATGGTGCTATCAGTGTGTGTGGTGTTCCTGGTCTGAAGTCTTATCATCACTTATGTTGTTGTAGGCTTTTTCTTTTCCAGAGGTCTCTTCAATTGTGTTAAGCCAAACATCAACAGTCTGTGTACTTATTAACTATGTAACAGTTCCTTACTGTTGATCTCAACACAGCCCGTGAGTCCTTTTTACACATCAAAAAACTGCCATTAACTTTGGGTGTGTGATCTTTTATAGCAAAAGAGAGCCTGATGAATGAATCTTCGCTCTAATGCAGAACTGAAATGTGAAAATTCGGCAAGTAGTAAAATCTGATTTACTTTCTGATTTACTGATGTACTTTCAGGATGCTGTATATAAACATAAGTGGGCTGTTCATAAGCTGGTTTATCATGATGTACCTTCAGAACTCATCATTTGTTTTAGTTTTTGACTATAGCAAATACGATATCAACACTCACACAAAATTTAATCCATTAACTATTACCTAGCAAGTCTGTACTGTCTTCTCAAAACACCACCAACAGAAACGCGTAGGGCTTTAATGTGTTATCCACATGTTTTTATCTTTTGTGACTTCTAATTATTTACTTTACATCAAGTGTTTAGAAACCCGGTACAATAGCCAGAAACTATAGAACTGTTTGTTTTAAAATGTTAGTCATAGTTAACGGCCGTTAATACTCAGTCACTAATAATACACAAGTAGAGGTTAATTGATAATAAAATATAGGTAAGAAAAAGTTTACAGAAAAGGAATATTGTAATTACCTCAATTTGAAGGTTGCTTTTTCAAAGAGAATTGAAAAAGATTATTCCAATGGTGTTACAGAGTATTTTGAGACAATGTTGATAATCCTTTTGTTTTCCTTCATGCGCTGTAATTTCTTCATTTACAAAGATATCTCATGAATATTATATTTTATAAAATAAATGCATTTTAAAATAAACTGTTACAACCAGTTTACTGAATGTGTTGTAAGATCTGTCAGGCAACATCAGACTGATATTTAGAGTCAGACTCTACTGTTTCTTATGTTTATTTGTAGAAAGTTGTAATATCACATACACACACACACACGCATAAAATCAGGGGGTTATGCTTTAGAGGTGTCACATTTTGGTAACTGTGTCAACAATATTATAAACAATATTTCGTTTGACCTCCTGAGGTTCACAATAAACATGCTCTGAAGCACCTCTCTTCACTTACCATTTGTTGAACAATAAAAATGAATAATTTTTAATCATTTGAGGTACTATTTTGTACTTTTTGATAAACCTCATGAGGTGCTTACGTTCAGAACGTACGTACGTTTTGTATTAAAAACCATCATGTGTACGTGAAACGTCATTGTCACCTTGGTTTTTCCCTTTGCCATTAGTAGACTTTAATTTGCAAGAAATGATTAATGACAAAAATAGAGTAATAGCAAAATATGTCATGGTTAAACTGTATCTAGAACAGAATTACAACGCCGCAGTCTCAATTTTCACTGATGTTCCAAAGATCACGAGACAGGACGAGCATCAGCAGCTGTATTTGTCCCAACTTATCAAATCAAGACTGGTAAAGAGTTTCTGATCAAGTAGGAGTTTACACTACAGAGATGGTAGCAATATTATTAGCTATCAGGTGGATGGAGGATACTCGGCCAATGAATGCGGTGATATGTTCAGATTCATTCTCTGCATTATCAAGTCTTATCAGTGGAAGATCTTCAAGACAAGACATTTCGTATGAAATTATTTTATGTATGTATAGAGTGAATAAGATAGGAATTAAGATATGTTTCCTGTGGGCTCCAGCACACGTGGGAGTGGATGGAAATGAGGTTGCGGATCATTTAGCAAAACAGGCACTGAAATGATCCCATATAGAAATGATTATACCACTAAGCAAAGAAGAAGTTAAGGCTAGAATTAGAACAGCATTAAAAATGAGATGGCAAGAAGTTTGGAATAAGGAGGAGAGAGGAAGACATCTTTATCATATTCAAAATCAAGTTGGGGTTGAAAGAGTTCATTTTGGTAGTAGAAGAGAAGATACAATTATTACCAGACTT